AATGCACTCAGCGGTTCGTTGCCTCCACGTCATGCATTAAAATCGTTTAATGCACAGCTGACCGTGCATTATCCCTTACATAGACTCACCTATAGCTCTAATCTGCCAGATGCAACTATATTATACATTTTAACATCATGATTTTCTGTAGAGCTGCTTCAAAACAATGTGTATTGTGAAAAGCGTTATACAAATACATTTCACTTGACACATTTTGGATAATATTGGACAACTTGGTCTACGTTAGTCCCAGCCCTTACAAAAAAGTACTGTGATGGTACCTTGGTGCTTGTTGGTCTTTCCTACCACTGGACCAATAATCACAGGAATGCAAAATGATCTACAAAAATTAAATGTGATGTTAAATGTCTTAAGATGTGGAGAAAAGGAAGAACCCCGTGTGTGGGTTTGTCACGCCGCTGGAGGGTTCGGAGGCGGATGCTCACGGCAAACCTGAGGTGAGTCCCACCACAAAGACGGACCAGAAATAATTACACTATTTGAATCAATAAATGAGTTTTAATTTACAAGAGAAGATTTTGATGTTTGACACATGTAAGGCATCACCTGCTGTGTTTAATGTGTTTATTTATGGCATTTACAGGCCATTGTTTTGGAGGGAAGCTACTGGAAGAGACGGATAGAGGTGGTGATAAAGGAATATCACAAATGGAGGATTTACTATAAGAAAAGAGTGAGTAACTGACCAAATATAATGGGACATAATTGTCTATTAGATGCCCAGAACACATTTCGGACACAGATACACTAGCATTCAAAAGTTTGGGGTTGGTAAGATTTTTTTTATGTTTTTGAAAGAAGTCTCTTCTGCTCACCAAGGCTGCATTTATCTGATTAAAAATAGAGTAAAAACAGTAATATTGTGAAATATTATTACAATTTAAAATAACAGTTTTCTATTGTAATATATATGGTCAAATGTTTGATTGCTATGATCAAAGCTGAATTTTCAGCATCATTACTCCAGTCTTCAGCGTCACATGATCTTTGCCTTTACTGTTACTTTTGATCATTTTAATCCGTCCTTGCTGAATAAAAAGCATCAATTTCTTTCAAAAACGTTTTGACGGTAGTGTATACTGTATATTCCATCATTCATTCTCATTATTAAACTCCCAGATAGCGAATTTCTCATAATGAACAAAAATGTAGAAGTTGACTAATACAGGTTTTTTGTTTGAAGTGCTAATGTCTAGAAAGAGATAAATGACCAATATAATGCCAATGTATATAGTACAGCACATGATAGACATAAAATTGCTGAATAATCATTAAATTGGGATGTAACGATTCACTCAAGTCACGATGCAATACGATTCACGATACGCTTTTTTTAACGAAATGAGATTTAAGACAAATTATAAATGAAAAGGTGTCTTTTTATTATTGCTTAGACAAAATGCTGCACATTTCTTTGTGAATTTGAAATATGACAAACAACAAAACTAATTTGACATTTTAAAACAAACCCCAAATCAAATAAATAAATAATACAAATAAAAGAAATCTCTTCATATAAACAAATTCAGGCTTTGCCTGTGCTCTTTCCATTTAAAATTAGAGGCAACCACTGCATTTGAATCGCTACCCAAACAAAGATGATGCATATATGCAGCATGAGCAGTTTTTAAACTAAATTAGATTGTATAATTTCAAAATCTGAAGCAAAAACACGATTAATCGAATGTGATTGTCATGCGCATTTTGTTAAAAAAGCCGGTTCTGTAATCAGCAGGAAATCATCATCACGTGCTTTCAGATGGAGCAGAATTTACTACACATAGCCGTAGTTCACTGACAAGTAATGCAAAAAAAATACGATTTTATTGCTCGATTCTGAAATCATAAGCGATAATGACAGCTGTTTGCATAGCTTCTCAGTGAACTACGGCTCTGTGAAGTAAATGCTGCTCCATCTGAAAGCATGTGAAAATACCATATTTTAAACAAAGCAGCGCTGCGCTTATAAACACTACTTTAATATGCATCATACAGAGGCGAGATGAAAAGAAAATAATACCATCTAAACTATTCTAAAGACAGTCAGTTCCCCTCCGAGATACATTCATATAAACTCCTACTACCCCCAGTTGTATCACGATTCATTTAACATCTCAACCGATTTGAATCGGCACATATTTGTATCGGTTTTTAATCGGCTCGGGGTGCACAACTGACAAAGCTCTCAGTAGATTTAGTACAATCATTCTGTATATTATATTGATTTATCACCACAATAATCCCACCATAAAATGTGGAGTCAAAGGACACCAGATCACTGACATGATTATAGACATCTTTACTGGTTGGCACAACATGAAAAGGTTTAAATGATTTCTGAACTGCATCCACTACGTCCTGAAATGACCAAGATCTTTGGTTTGTAATGTGAAATTGAATGCAATTGTGTTCCTGAAGGTACTAGACCTGAGCTAGTAAAATATGACTCAACATTTTTCCCACTCTGTTGAGATACTATTGCAAAACTGCAGGAGCAACTTTGGGTCAAGAGCCCAAAGTTCAGTATTCACAGTAAGGGCCAGTAAAATCTCTGACCCCAGCCAACCTCACAAAGTGAACAAAAGCGTATCCTCAAAATTCTCAGGTACTGAACCATTATTAAGATAAGATAAGAGTTTTTCCAGCATTTTAAGGTCAGTTCCTGTTTGATTTGTAATCTCCATTAGGATCGTAAGGCACCGCTACGTCTGACGTATTTTATTGTATTTTTTAGCTTCAGAAGAACAAAGACCTGCTGTCCATGCTACAGAAGGTAAGATCACAGGGAAGCTTGCCCTCTTAATGCAGTGAATGACAGTAAATAGTCTGGTTTTGTGAATGCTAGTGGTGCAAAAGTTGCACATTTCACATTTAAAGAGATATTTAAACCCCAAAAGAAAAGTCTGTCATCATTTACTCCCTCTACGACCTTCTTTTTTTTTACAAAATATAGTCTGAAGAATGTTGGGATCCAAACATTTCAACTATCCCTTTAAGAAAAGTACAAATACAGTGGTTAAAGTCAAAGTACTTTGATTAAACCAAGTGCTAAATACTGTTTTAGTGTTATGAACAGGCTTCCCATGGTCATGGAAAACCTGGAAATATCAGGGAATATTAAAACTATGCTTTCTAAGTCATGGAATTTTGAATATTTGTCTTTCTGATGAAATATTTCATCAGCTAGAGATTGTGTAAAGTAACACTTGCTCAAAAGTAAGCATGGATTATTATTAGAAACAATATTATTATAAGAAATATTATATATTTTGAATGCATAATTATAATGCACTTTATAATGCATTGTATGATCTTATGAATAATTGTAACCACAGCTACAATACATCGTACTTATCTATTTATTCTTACACCTTTAGAAAGTATAATGCATTAAAGCATAAGACAAAGCAAAAAATTGCAAATCTGCAAATATTATAATGAAAAATGAACTATTCATGAAAATATATAATGCATTACCAAGTACATTATGAATCCTTTATAATGCATTATACATAAAATGTTACCAGGACATTTGCTGACTAATAAACATACATTTAAATTTAAACTTACATTTTTTAACTCAAAATATTGGTATCTGGCGTACAAAAGGACAGCCAGTCCAGAAATCTCTAGAAAATAATTTATAAACAATCCTAATTCAGTAACCAAGAGCATTCTGAGGATCTTTAAGGATGTCAGTGACCCATACATTTATTTATTTTTATTATTATGCCTGTTTTGGAAGGTTTAACCAAAATGAAGCTGCATGTTTATTCATATTTTAAATTGAATATCTTTCGCACAGATTGATTTGTAATCTCCATTAGGATCGTAAGGCACCGCTACGTCTGACGTATTTTATTGTATTTTTTAGCTTCAGAAGAACAAAGACCTGCTGTCCATGCTACAGAAGGTAAGATCACAGGGAAGCTTGCCCTCTTAATGCAGTGAATGACAGTAAATAGTCTGGTTTTGTGAATGCTAGTGGTGCAAAAGTTGCACATTTCACATTTAAAGAGATATTTAAACCCCAAAAGAAAAGTCTGTCATCATTTACTCCCTCTACGACCTTCTTTTTTTTTACAAAATATAGTCTGAAGAATGTTGGGATCCAAACATTTCAACTATCCCTTTAAGAAAAGTACAAATACAGTGGTTAAAGTCAAAGTACTTTGATTAAACCAAGTGCTAAATACTGTTTTAGTGTTATGAACAGGCTTCCCATGGTCATGGAAAACCTGGAAATATCAGGGAATATTAAAACTATGCTTTCTAAGTCATGGAATTTTGAATATTTGTCTTTCTGATGAAATATTTCATCAGCTAGAGATTGTGTAAAGTAACACTTGCTCAAAAGTAAGCATGGATTATTATTAGAAACAATATTATTATAAGAAATATTATATATTTTGAATGCATAATTATAATGCACTTTATAATGCATTGTATGATCTTATGAATAATTGTAACCACAGCTACAATACATCGTACTTATCTATTTATTCTTACACCTTTAGAAAGTATAATGCATTAAAGCATAAGACAAAGCAAAAAAATGGCAAATCTGCAAATATTATAATGAAAAATGAACTATTCATGAAAACATATAATGCATTACCAAGTACATTATGAATCCTTTATAATGCATTATACATAAAATGTTACCAGGACATTTGCTGACTAATAAACATACATTTAAATTTAAACTTACATTTTTTAACTCAAAATATTGGTATCTGGCGTACAAAAGGACAGCCAGTCCAGAAATCTCTAGAAAATAATTTATAAACAATCCTAATTCAGTAACCAAGAGCATTCTGAGGATCTTTAAGGATGTCAGTGACCCATACATTTATTTATTTTTATTATTATGCCTGTTTTGGAAGGTTTAACCAAAATGAAGCTGCATGTTTATTCATATTTTAAATTGAATATCTTTCGCACAGATTTCTTTTGTTTTTCAGACATTTCTGAAGGTCTCTTTCATATCTATGGGGCATAACGCAGCTGTGATGAAGGCCTAGTGTAAATCATTGATGAGTTAGTGTAGAGTGTAGCATTTGCTTTAGTAGGTTAGCGGTTCAGGTCATGTTTGCACAGCTCAAGAGCATTTCTATTAATAGTCTCCCCTCAGATTTTGCTTTCCTCAGCTGGTTGAAAAATTAAAAGGATCCACCATGTACGAAAAACGTGAGTAAACGTAAACGCACAGATTCATTTGCGTCACAGCTCGTCATACGGATGAGAAAATGAGTCATTTGATTGCCTTCAGTGACTAAAGTGCTAATCTTCCCTTCTGTTCGATGAGGTGGTCAAAGAAACACACGTTCAGGCTTTAACAGCGTTTAATCAAATCTGACCCACATACTGCAAGATGTGAATCGGCAGCACTTCTTTTAAATGCAGTTTATTCATGTGCTGCTTTGTGCATGTGAATTTGATTTATGATGTGAGTCCTTGCTTACAAATGAAAGTGCTGATGCTTTCGGATAATACTGTACCATGGTACTTGATAATACCATATTTATATACTGTACCATGGTATTTGCAACGTACACTACCATTCAAAAGTTTTTTCTTAAAGAAATTAATAGTTTTATTCAGCAAGGATGCATTAAAGTAAAGACATTTACAGTATAATGACAATTTATAATTACAATAAGAAGATTTCTATTTCTGATAAAGGCTGTTCCTTTGAACTTTCTACAATGAAACAGAGAAACCTGGAAAAAAAAAGACTGAGAAATGAAAACATAATGGGATTGGGCTGGGGGTTCCTGTCTTTTACACGTTTGCATTAAACTGCTGTCGTTAAGACCTCACACGTAAGCACCGAGGCCCACGTACACACACAAACACGCTCTAGCACCAATACTATAATTTGCCACCTCTGTGCATAAGAAAAAAAAAGTGGAAAACAGAACGTAGGTAGTTTTCAGGAAAGACGTAATCATTGCCGCTGCTGTCTTGATTGTGGGTATTCCTATAAATATGTGGCCCGTGCCGAGCCTCAGTGCTTGCAGAGCAGGAAAACCAACAAGACAGCAGCTCTCCAGGTATAAAAGATGCCCTTGGGATTTTTCCAATAAAAACCGTGAGTAGAATGTCAAATAGGAGCGTTTTCTGTATTGTAACTACTTATTTTTTTTGTGTGTGTGTGTTAAAGTCAGCATGAAATCAAACCTTCCAAAGGAAAGAAATCTGATAAAACATTGTAAAACAGCTTCTAAAAATGTAAAACAGCTTCTCGAAAGAGAAAAAAATGTAGGGCGGGACTTGATTTTGTCCATTAGTAATTGATTGGATCATTGGATCGTGGTCATTTGCTAATTGCTCGTGTGAGCGACAGTGAGTAATTTCAGTGTCACTGATATACTATCATAATCTTTGTTAATATTTTGAATTTGATTTTATTTATATGTCCTGTTTTCATAATTTTTTTTAGTAAACGTTAGTAATTTTGTTTCCACAAACATGAAGCAGGACAACTGTTTTTTACATTGGTACTAATAAGTAAAAATAATAATTATTTAATAAAGTAATAATGATAATTTCTTGAGCAGCAAATCAGCATATTAGAATGATTTCTGAAGGATCATGTGACACTGGAGACTGGAGTAATGATGCTAAAAATTCAACTTTGATCACAGGAATAAATTACATTTGAACATATATTCAAATAGAAAATAGCTATTTGAAATTATAATAATATTTCACTATTTTAAGTGTATTTTTAATCAAATAAATGCAGCCTGGATGAGCAGAAGAGACTAAAATGTAAAAAAAAAAATAATAATTTGAATGGCAGTGTACTTGAAAGATTCACTTCCAAAAAAAATAAAAAAATAAAAAATCAGCCTAAGCTGAATATTCTGCTCTGTTTTGCTGGTTTTAGAGAGGTTTTGGACATTTGCAGTACTAATTTGATGGTTTGTGCTTCAGACAGATGTGATGTTACTTTACTAAGTGATCAGATGCACCATTTTCACCTACTGGGCCAAAAAAATCCCACTTTAAAGTAGAAACCCAAGTCATATCTGCAGATATGTCCCCATTAGTCCTGCAGTGCCTGGTGTTGCGGTGCAGTGTGTCAGTGTGGCAGCAGGAGGCAGTGAGTTTGCTCTCGTCCTCCACACGTGAGTGTGACAGCTGCAACTGGGTCAGGAACAAAAGAGCCGCTCGCCTTCAATGAAACGGAGAAACCTGGAAAAAAAAAGACTGAGAAATGAAAACATAATGGGATTGGGCTGGGGGTTCCTGTCTTTTACACGTTTGCATTAAACTGCTGTCGTTAAGACCTCACACGTAAGCACCGAGGCCCACGTACACACACAAACACGCTCTAGCACCAATACTATAATTTGCCACCTCTGTGCGTAAGAAAAAAAAAAGTGGAAAACAGAACGTAGGTAGTTTTCAGGAAAGACGTAATCATTGCCGCTGCTGTCTTGATTGTGGGTATTCCTATAAATATGTGGCCCGTGCCGAGCCTCAGTGCTTGCAGAGCAGGAAAACCAACAAGACAGCAACTCTCCAGGTATAAAAGATGCCCTTGGGATTTTTCCAATAAAAACCGTGAGTAGAATGTCAAATAGGAGTGTTTTCTGTATTGTAACTACTTATTTTTTTTGTGTGCTGGCAGTTGTTTTGTTCGATTCTGACAATATGTTTGTTATGCTGCAATCCCTCTGTAAAACAACTAATTTAAAAAAAATTCTTTACAAAAAATAACTAGCTGTTTAGTTAATCAATTAATTCCCACGGGATAAAATCAATAGTCTTGCTTCTTGTTCAATGTGTGTATGTAAACTATTTATTTTCTCAACAGGATTTTCAATGCATTTCCTTAAGGCTTCAGACAGAAAAGGGCTGATTTATATTGGACAGATTGTTTTGTGCTTGAATAAGCATTTGCGGCATCTATTGATTTTAAAATATAAATGCTAAAATGGTCTGAGCTACAGTTAGTGTTAGTTCTAGTTCTTGTGGTTGTAAACATGGTCTGCCTTAGATGTAGGAACCTTCATTAGTGATGTTTGTTAATGAAAGCATCATATTACTATTTAGTGTTTCTGATGTGATCAAACCTCGAACGTTAAATATTAAAGTTGAGTATGAGCATCGTCCAGACCTGAATGATTCCCCTAATCATGTTCTCCACAGAGTCCTATCAGCAGGACGGGCCTGGAGAAGTGGACCAGTCAGATCTATCCAGAGCCTGAGGCAGCATCAGAGGAAGTGCACATGTTTGACTTGGATTGCTTCCTGTCCGACATCTCAGACACGTTGTTCACAATGACCCAGAAACCCAGTCCCTGGAGTGGAGACCGCCAAAACAGTGAGTCCACCCAGAAATCATTTACTCACCTTCATGTCATTCCAAACCCAGATTCATTTGTATTTTCAAACTTGGCCTGTCAAGATGCAGTGTGCCAGGTTTAACATCATTGATGCTTGTAGTTTTTGGTGCATGGCTTGTAATTAATCACATTGTGCCGATTTTTAAATATGCACATGCATGCAAGGTTTATAGACTACTTTTATCAGGGTTTCTGTGAGTTTTGAAAAGTCTTTTTTGAAAATTCTGCCTTCCACAAATTAAAGCCTTAAAAAAAGTCTTACATCAGAGTAGAAAGTCTTAAATTCATAAAATCATGACATTAAATGTTGCGTGCATTGCAAAAAATGAAAATTTTCCTCAGTATTTTTGTTTTGTTGTCCAATACATTTATCTAAACATCCTTAAATCAAAATACATTTACTTGAGATGCAAACTGAAGATCTTGCTTTTGGAGGAATTGAACTAAATTTATGCTTAAAACAAAAACAAACATCTGTCAGTGGGGTATGAAAACTTGTTTTCCCTTCGAATTAAGTTTTTCTTACATTTTCTGAGCCCATTGGCAGATATTGGCCTTGTTTTAATCATAAAGTAACTTCACTTTGATTAATTTCTCAGAAAACAATAATAATGCTTCTAAATGTAGTAGCTTGGTTTTTATAAAAATCTTTAGATATTTGAGCTGGAAAACCGGTATTTTTGCGGTGTGATCAGGAGGTACAGTTAAAGTTATTTCCATATTTATAGTTAAGCTATTTTCCTTTCTCTGTGTTTTATTTTTATATATTTATTTATTTATTTTGTAAGATGAATTAAAAAGTAGTAGAGAACGGTTAAAAGTTGTATTTTCAACCTTTTCTTAAAGTCTTAAAAAGTCCTAAATTTACCTTCATAAAACCTGTTTGTGGTGTTCTTTGTCATTTTTGGAGCAGTACAGCACCTAAATTATCATTTTATGAAAAACATATAATCATATTAAAATATAATTTTAATAATGTCTTGTTTTATAATTTTATTTCCCACAGAAAAAAGTAAGTCATACAGGTTTGAAATGACATGAAAATACTAAATTTTAAATAAAACAAATTTAATTAATTAAAAAAATTACAAATTAATTGGATGATGAGCGTTAATGCGAGATCAGCTTTGTGAGTCTCAATTCACTTGACTGAACTAATAGATTTTGTGGTCACTATATATTGATCTTGAAAGGATATTTGCCTGATTTAACAAGATTACAACATAATATGTATCTTTCAGTGACATTTAATGTGCCTTAAAGTGTTTTAATTTAAGATTTCATGAATGAGACATGCATTTAGAGATGGAGAATTTAGTCACATGAGTTTATAAAATATATTCAGGAAGGACACCACACCCTCAAACAAGGAACTTTAAGAGAATAAATGCTCCAAACAGAGCAGTGTTAAACACACACATGCTTACAGTCCATGTTACTGCTGTCGTCTCAGTGTACACCAGTAATGCAGATATGATCCAGCCCGGCTTGACTCCATTACAGCCCAACTTGGATGACCTGATGGACATACCAGGTGAGTTTAATGAGTTTAATCTTTATTATACTGACATTGCTCAGCTTTATAATTCAAACTAAATTGCTTTATATGCTGTGTGCCGCTCTGTACCCTGGTCCTGGTGCCTTAGACGGATGCACTTGATTATAAAGAAGACTAATATAAAAATGGAGTCACAAATTTGCACCTTCCTGCTGTAGTTGGAATGCTAATAAGAAATATAATTTAAATTAAATATAGTTATTAACATAATTAAATATTTTTTTTTTATTAATTTCTCAATATTAATATATTGATTTAATATTTATGAACAATGCTTTTTGTAGTTTGAATGTTAATAAAAAAAATATAACTGAAATATAATGAAAAATGAAATATAGTCATTAATATAAGTATTACAACATTTTTCAGTAATTTTTTAATAATAATAATATATTGATTAAATATTTATGAAAAATGTTTTGTCTGTAGTTTGAATGTTAATAAAAAAGATAGCATAAATATAATTTAAATTAAATATAGTAATTTACATTATAATAATATTTCTCTCTCTCTCTCTCTCTCTATATATATATATATTGATTATTAATATATTGTTTACTATTTATGAAAAATGTTTTGTCTGTAGCTTGAATGTTAATAAAAAAGGTAACGTAAATATAATTTAAATTAAATATAGTAATTTACATTATTATAATATTTCTCTCTCTCTCTCTCTCTCTATATATATATATATTGATTATTAATATATTGTTTACTATTTATGAAAAATGTTTTGTCTGTAGCTTGAATGTTAATAAAAAAGGTAACGTAAATATAATTATATATATATATATAAATATATATATATATATATATATATATATATATATATATATATTGATTATTAATATATTGTTTGCTATTTATGAAAAATGTTTTAGCTGTAATAAATATAATTTAAATACAAAATGAAATATAGTCATTAATATAATTAAATAATATGAAATGTAATCAAAATTTCAGTATTAATATTTATGAACAAAGTTTTATCTGTCGTTTATATGTTACTAAGAAATATAATTACACTTTAATTTAAATGTAGTCATTAATATAAAATAAAATATTTTTGTTTCAATATTTCAATATTAATATATTAATTAATATGTGAATTAATATGAATTAAACAGTACGTTTTATCTGTAGTTTGACATTTTGTTAAGAAATTAGTAATAATTAAATAATTATAAATAATTCATATACCTAAATACTATATATAATATAATGATTATTTGTTAGAATTATTTTTCAATATTAATTTATTGATGAATATTTAATAACATATATATAATTATTGATTCATTATTAAGAATTAATATTATTTGGAAATGCAAAAAACAAACAAGCAAACTTAAGAACAGTAAAAATAAATAGGTGATGAATTTATGAATAGATACATAGTTGATAACTAGTATTGCATAACTTTGACGAGCTATAGGGAAGTTAAAATTTTCATTTGTGCAATTTTTAATGAAGCCGGCCCAACAATCTGTCTGTGCTTCACTTTCGGGGTGTTTAGAGGGCAATGAATGAGTTTAACCCCTTGTGGCATATGTGAGATTTCCTCATCTGTGACGGGGTCATTTAAAGGGTAAAGAGTCAGTGACTGATGAGTAGAAGTCAGACGGGATGAGATCAGCCCTCAATAGTGAGCCATTTGTAGGGATGAGTTTACTTTAGTACAGCAACACCGTTCACTCATTCAGTTCCCTCCATTTGTGTGCTGATTTATCTTCTGTCATTGTAAAGAATACGCTAAACTATACGGGACAATGTACAGTAGGGCTGTGCAATATGGACACAATAATCGCAGATTGTGTTGATTGTGTTTTTATTTTATTGCAATTTTTGGCAGGTGTATTTAACTTTAAGTGTTCAAAAACGTGTATCAGAAGAAAATACAATTATCCACATTCTGATTAGCTTTTGCACACAGATGAGAATGCCACAGTTTAACCCTGTAAAGCCTATTTAATACGTGCATTTCTAAGGTCTCTAAATGATCAACATCATCAAAACTTTGCTGAAAAGCCTGTTGCACTCAATCTTCTGCATGCCTTCTGTCTTTTTAGCAAGTGAAAGCTCTTTTAGTGTAATTGTACAAACATCCACCTTCAGCTGGTGCTACATATGTCTTTTTGCTGTCAAATCCTTATTGATTTTTATCACGTAAACGTCAGAATAACTGCAGTTCCACGAGCTTTGGGTGAAGATGTGCTTCCACGTCTGATTTGTAGATGTTGTTCTCATTGAATCAGAGGTAAGCTTTAAATGTTCTGTTCAATAGCATCACAGTGGGAAGTGTGCAGTCTTGCAGTAGTGTAAATGTACTCTTTTGAAGCGTGCATGTGACTGTGAAACATTAAAGTCTGGTATTGAATGGCCACATGAAGCACGCATCATCCGAGGTGGAAAATACTTTTCCCAGAAGGCATTCTGATTGGATGCATGTGGGTCTGGCAGGTCTAGAGGAATAGTTTAGATACTGTGAGAGACTAAACCATGCTGCAGGGCGCTTGCTTGTAGCGTATGGCAGTTGACGTGTGTCTGCTGTGCCATTAGAAGTCATTTTTGAGCCATTGCAATGTGCAGGATATTTCTGAAGAAAATGTGAGTCATTCTCACCTGCTTGCGAAGAATTAACCTCATGCTCATTGCTTTCTAGACATTTTCCTGAGTTTCCGCGGGCAGCCGATGGAGCACGTGGTTTATTCAGACTGCAGCTTCTTTGAGAGTTCATCAAGCGGGGCGTTTCCTTCAACTGCTTCCTCTGCCGTCACCAGTCAGATAATACACACAGGACCTCTGCTCACACAGGTACAACACTCATTCATGGTGTAATTGCCAAGTGCCACTAGTGTCACCAAACAAAACTGTAAACGTGACTGTTTTCTCAAACACGTCTGCCATCGTGAGTTTTTCTTTTTTTTATCAGCATCATCCTACAAATTACTTGATTGATTGTGAACATTAAGTAATATCATATTATTTTAATATGTTAACATTTATTATATTAAAATGTATTTATTCTATTAATATTTATATACATATAGTTACAATTTTATTTTCAACATTTTAACGTAAAAAAAGTGTGCCATGCTTTTAACCATGCTAATAATTGTATTATATTATATTTAGGGCTGTCAATGTGAACGCGTTAACGCATGTGATTAATTCAAAAATCCTCAAAAGGCAAAAGTCGATCATATCATTTCAAGCCACTAAGCGCAAGCGTCATGCTTTCTAACCTTATCTCCACTTTGTTGCAGTTATTCTGCTTATTGTACATATAAAATACAATAAATTTATATCAGTAGTGCCTTATTCATAATTATGACCACAATGTCTGTTTACAATGTCTACCATTGTAAAATGTTTGCATCTGCCAATGTCTGTATACAGTGTTTGCATTTACACACATAGAGAGTGTATCTTGAAATATATATATATACTGTATATATACAGTACGTACATCATACATATATTTATTTTACTCTCTGCACAACTCTGTATACATTGAATTGATTTTAAATAACTTTAATGTACCTGAAGTGTGCACCAAACATACATTCCTCCAAGTATCAGATCGGGACTCGGTATCGGCAGATACTCAGTATTCATTGACTCGGATCGGATCGATTGGGGGCAGAAAAACCTGATCGGGACATCCCTAAAAAAATACTTGCAGAATACTAGAAAAATACTTGCAGAAAAATTTGTTTTGTAAGAATCACCCTTCAATTGGTTTACTTAGACATAGCAAATAATGACAAAATTAACATGTTAAACAATAAATGGTAAATGCGTAATCTCACGATACGTATGTGATTAATCTCGATTAATCACAGAAAAGGGTGTTATTAATCTGATTAAAAGTTTTAATGTATTGACAGCCCTAATTATATTATATTATATTATATTATATTATTATTTGTATGGTTATTATAAGCATAGTACACATTTAAACATTAAAATGTGCAAAATAAAATAAATAAAAATTAAGTAATTTTATTATATTTATATGATATGATATAATTATTTGCATGGTTATTATTAGCATAGCACACATTACAACAGTAAAATTTTTTAAATAAATATAATTATATTATATTGTATTTATTATTTACATAGTTATAGGCATATAGTACACATTTCAACATAAAATGTTTAAAATAAAATAAAAAAATAAAAATAAAATGATCTTAAAATTAAATGAATTAAATGAATTATATTATATTTAATAAATAGTAAAATCATTTGTTTTATTTAAAATGTGTGCCATGCTTCGGACTATTTACCTCATGAGATATCACATAAATTTAATGCATTTTCCCCAAATGTGTCAAAAACTGTCAAATAATTTCACTTTTTTCAATCTTCATTTTTAGCCTCCTCTCTCAGCTGAAGGTTTATCCCAGCCGTCCTCATCTGTAAACCTACCTGGACCCAGTTATCCTCGCCAGACCATCGACCCCGACATGACCTTCAACCCCAGTGGTGAAACCTCAGAGCCCAAGTTCAAAGGTCACTCAGAATACATCAGTGACTTCCATCACTCTCTGAACCTCTCGTCTGGCCTGGTCCCGTACGGTCCGCAGACGCCGTTCAGCGGTCACAGCACTGAGATGCCAGGTGTCATGGCACAGGAAAGCCCTTACCCATCAGCCTGCCTCAGACACAGATATTCCTCCAGCCAATCACAGACCTGTGCGGCTGCCACGTCTACAGTCATCACCCACACTGGCTCTGCCATGACCGGCCTGCCATTGGACGCCCAGCATGGATACTCCAGCGTGGCTGAGATGTTTCCTCCTGCCACCTGCATGTCTTTGAGCTACCAGCCCATGACGGCCACCCCATCTCTGCCTTCGCCCGGCGTCTCTCACTGCTTCTCTGTGCCGCAGCAAGTGGGCGTGGCCACTGGCGGGGGGAAGCACAAACAAAAGACAGGAGGAGCCCAATTGGTTCCCAGGGTGATGACTTCATCTACAGCCCCGCCCACTCAGACGAGCTGCCTGGCCAATCTGCTCTCTTCCAGATCTCAAGAGCGTATGTAGATGTTTGATTCATTTGTCATTTTTCCTGCTTGGTTTCTTCAATTTTTGCCAGTGAGCATCTGGACGGCTGAAGGAATGTCCCAGATTCAAAACTAATTTTAGCACTTGCTATCTGAAACTAAAACTATAAAAAAAATTGTTAATTGAATTAAACCTGATTTTAAATAAAATATAGATATTAAATAAAAATTCTTTAAAAAAAAACTTTAAAAAACTGTTGCCTTGGTAGCTAACTGAAATAAAACAAGTTTTAGTTAAAGTACTAAAATTAATAAAACTGAAATAAAATAACTTAAAGCTAACTAGAAATATAAAAAAGACATAAGACAAAAGCACTTAGCAAAATTACCAAACCTTAAACAAAAATTAAAATAAAATCTGAAAATAAACAGTCTAATTATATAAGTAATTTAATATATATAAATAAACAATAGTATATATATATATATATA